ATGCTCCCTCTGTCAGCTATTGTCAGCTGTAGGTTTTCGTAATCACTTATGTAAGAGCAAGAACAACTATTGCTTTCAGGCTTCCAAAGAAAAACTTGCCCATAATTGGCATGTGATTTCCTCTCATAATAAGTGATCACGTGTTAAACACAATACATCTCTTCTTCTCATAATAACTAATCACATGTTAAAGCACGACACGATTCACCAATTTACCAATTTTCTCTCATAATAAGTGATCACGTTTTCTCTCTCATAATGAGATGATATATAATAGTGTTCAAGAAGAAGAGTGTATAGATTCATGCAAGTTTCTCTCCTTGCGTGGGTGGCCTGCTAAATTTTTCTTCTGCTTTTGATTCCCAAACCAGTCAGATCGCAGCACCCAAGATGCTTAATGCATTTATAATTTTATAAAGCGATCTTTTCACTTCGTGCATTTAAGCCCAATTAAAAACATTGACATAAAGTAACTCCAAACTCTTCAATGGGCTATATCGTACGAGTAAAGTCTTCACTTGTAACTGATAATGCCAAGTGCCAAACTTGCTTGCACCCCCCAAATTCTGACCCTTTCTGCTGGAAATTTATGTTGGTTTCTGACTTATCTTGACCAGGATTTTATATGCTTTATTTTCTTGCCTCCACCACTGAATAATTCTACACACAAAAATATCCCACTATTCATGCTTGAAATGAGATGCAAAGAAATCACATGCAAGAAAACAGAGAAAATTCAGAAATCAATCTACTCCAAACCTCAAACTAAGATTTTGAGACTTAATTAAGTCATCTCTTTTCGTTTCCCACATAACATAATTCCCACAATAACAAATCCTACAAAAAGCCTACAACCATCAAACTCCATATAAATCTACATTTCCAGGAAATAAATTGTTCATTTCCTTTACAGAGAGAGAGAGAGAGAGAGAGAGAGAGAGAGAGAGAGAATAAAATAAAATATTTTTCATAACGTACAACACAAAACAACAAAAGAGTGACATGTTTTTTTTCTTTTTTAATTTTCAAGAGATTCAAAGTTGATGAGATTTGACAAAGAGAACAAGTACTTCTTCTACACAATTCAATAATGCATTCATTAATAATATTTGGTTCTAAGATTTCATTTTATTTTGGTCCTTCCTTTGTCTCCAGAATTCTTATTAGTGGTCAAATCAAGCCATGAAAGTGAAATATATTTTTGTACTATGTGTGTGTATATATACTAAATTCCCATTTCAGACAGAGACAAAGCATGAAATGCTGTTGCTAGCTGCACCCTAATCATCAAAAAAGATGAAAAATTATTGAACATCTCAGTGGATCCCCATGCCATCCTTCTATGTGAGCACTAAACACCAATCTAATTTTCAAGTTTTCAACATCATGTTACCCATCTTTTGCATGCTCCCTCTGTCAGCTATTGTCAGCTGTAGGTTTTCGTAATCACTTATGTAAGAGCAAGAACAACTATTGCTTTCAGGCTTCCAAAGAAAAACTTGCCCATAATTGGCATGTGATTTCCTCTCATAATAAGTGATCACGTGTTAAACACAATACATCTCTTCTTCTCATAATATTCACCAATTTACCAATTTTCTCTCGTAATAAGTGATCACGTTTTCTCTCTCATAATGAGATGATATATAATAGTGTTCAAGAAGAAGAGTGTATAGATTCATGCAAGTTTCTCTCCTTGCGTGGGTGGCCTGCTAAATTTTTCTTCTGCTTTTGATTCCCAAACCAGTCAGATCGCAGCACCCAAGATGCTTAATGCATTTATAATTTTATAAAGCGATCTTTTCACTTCGTGCATTTAAGCCCAATTAAAAACATTGACATAAAGTAACTCCAAACTCTTCAATGGGCTATATCGTACGAGTAAAGTCTTCACTTGTAACTGATAATGCCAAGTGCCAAACTTGCTTGCACCCCCCAAATTCTGACCCTTTCTGCTGGAAATTTATGTTGGTTTCTGACTTATCTTGACCAGGATTTTATATGCTTTATTTTCTTGCCTCCACCACTGAATAATTCTACACACAAAAATATCCCACTATTCATGCTTGAAATGATATGCAAAGAAATCACATGCAAGAAAACAGAGAAAATTCAGAAATCAATCTACTCCAAACCTCAAACTAAGATTTTGAGACTTAATTAAGTCATCTCTTTTCGTTTCCCACATAACATAATTCCCACAATAACAAATCCTACAAAAAGCCTACAACCATCAAACTCCATATAAATCTACATTTCCAGGAAATAAATTGTTCATTTCCTTTACAGAGAGAGAGAGAGAGAGAGAGAGAGAGAGAGAGAGAGAATAAAATAAAATATTTTTCATAACGTACAACACAAAACAACAAAAGAGTGACATGTTTTTTTTCTTTTTTAATTTTCAAGAGATTCAAAGTTGATGAGATTTGACAAAGAGAACAAGTACTTCTTCTACATGAAAAGGGTTCGAGGCCGATCTGATCCAGCAACAGAAGGGTAGCTGGAAAGAGAAACTCCCATTGGGATGGCAAAAGAAGTCTCCATGAAAATCCTCTGGTGGAAGGTCTCCAAGCTCGCGCCAGCTTGCATTAGGTCCTTCATCATGTTCTTGTAAGACTCCTTGAGCTTCTTCAACATGCACAAGTAGTGAAGCTTCAGCCACCTCATCCTGATCTTCTTGAGCATTTTAACAAACACAAGTCCCCGCTTCGGCTTCGGCCCACCGAGACGGGCAACCGGCAGTTTCCGGCGGCGGAGAGGAAAACCGCGCCTCACCAGGCGCTGATTTTGGCGGTGGAGATCATGATCTTGAGCCATGTGTTTGTGTTTGGGGTGTGAAGAAGGTGTGAGAGAGAGAGAGGAACAGAGAGAAGGGAGGATATTGTGATAAAACTTTATATAAGTGACAAAAAGGAGAGAAAGTTGACCAAATGAGAACAAAAGCATCACGCTATGAGTGGGGTATATGGGGCCCACAAATTGATTAATTAAGGTTTGAGATTTGGAAATCATAACTGTGGATTTGGAAATCATAACCTTAATCAGATTCATATCATAACTTCCATAATTGTGAGGATTAGATTGGATTAATGAATGACTAGAAAAACATGCATAAGAGACTTTGTTTTATGAGGTCAGATGTTTACACACGTATATACTTACTCAGGTCAGTCAGGTAGGTGGTGAAGTTGAGTTCAATTCCAATTCCATCCACAAGCATAGCTTTCCATATAAATAAAATTATTTTTGGATTTGGACTTTGTCTCACCTTGGTTTTGTCGGTGAACTTGGAGTCAGTCGTTCTTTTGTACTTTATTATATGTCATCTTGCGCCGATCATACTTACTCAACTGTGTTTTCACAATTTTATATTATAAAGTATAAATAAAATCGAATTTTACATTCAAGAAGAATGACAAACAAATTTGTTTTTATATATAATTAATTAAGCAACTTCCTTGTATAATAATGTGTATTACATCCATGCACTAATTTTAAAAGCAACCTCCTAATAATACAATTAGTCTTACGTAGGTGATGATTGTGAACTGCAGGATCATTATCTATATTATGCGGAAAATACTTCTCTTCTTATTACGTAAATAGGAGCAAGGCCGGAGCCACTCTTAGGCCAGGAGTGGCCTTGGAGGCCCCACTAATTTTTTTACCTCCCTCCTCTACTATATTACATATAATATATAATATATATTATATGAAGTATATTATATACACTAAAATAAATTAAACATGATTAAGTTCGAAATATTTAACTCTAACATGTAAGTTTTAAATACTTTATTTCCTACATTTATGTGAATAATAGTGTGACATGTGTGCATAAATTTTTCTTTTTGTGTTTATATGTATGTCAAATTGTGATTTACAAGAAGGTGTATCCCCTTACAGGGAAAGAGACAAGTAATATCCATTTTATATTGCAGCTCCTAATTCCAAATAAAAGGGGAAGATTCTCTTATTAATATTATATGTGCCTCTTCATCTGTGTTTTTTCTTTTTATTGTACTAAACCATGTGGCATATGATAATTTAGATTTATCAAATGGCCCTAGACTTTCTAAATTATTCTCATCCAACTAACTCAATCTTTATAAAAATAAATAAATTAAAAACTAAGTCAAGTTTTATTTTTTTTGTTGGGTTTTTGGGCATAGACTTGAGCTCTAAATCTAACTTAGCCCATGTTATTCGCATCCCTAAAAAAGGTTTGGGTTCTTTGGGCTGCCACTTTTGGAGCCCAAATTGGTTTTCCTTGATCATTTTGTTCATGTGGGTTTTATATGAACAAAAAAAGATCGTAAAAAGTTATTTCGACGCCTGAGAGATTCGAACTCTCGCGGGGAAACCCCATGTACTTAGCAGGCACACGCCTTAACCACTCGGCCAAAGCGTCGTTGTTGTTAACGACTCTGAACACGTTGTATTTAACCTATTCCCAACGCACGTACGTGCACATGGAATTAAATAAGAATGATTCTATATCAATGTCCAAATCTATACGCGACGATCCTCGTTTTGATGCCTTGAGCTGCACATTATCTATTCTATTGAGTGTTTCATTTGTTACATTAATTGATCTCTCCATCACTTTTCAGAGTCTAGACTAACAACTAGAGGTTAGATTATTAGAAAATTGAAGAACTTGACGCATGCATGCTGCAGATGCCTGTTAAGTCTTCCCTTCCATTAATTGAGCTGTGAAGTTTCTTAACCAATGGGGTATCAATTGGATTGGCCCCGACTTTTGATTATGTGCTCCCAAGTGGTCTTGTATTCAAGGCACCATGGTACCCGTGTGTGTGAGTTTTCCCCCTTCCCCTTTCTAACTTTGGCCCAAAAATAAACGTTTCTTACACCGCACACAATAAATTAAGGGATGTGCTGCATTTGCATATCAAACTGGGGATATTTTTGCAACCCTCATTGTTTCCTCTAAAGGCAAGAGCTTTATTGATTAACCAAAAGACACATCAATGTGGAACTGAACAAGGCCCTCTCTTAGCCAAAGCATATATATTGTTATATCTCACTTTCATGGCAGATAATCATAAAAGAGAAGCATAATGTGACTGAATTTATTGCTTAGGTAAGTTCTCAAGCTTCGATTTTGCAACAACAATGTAACGTATTCACACAATCAGGGCCTACCCATAACAATTCAAAAGCCCTTCAACTTTACACAAGAGGCTGACTAATAAGTTAAAACAAAGCAAGCGACTATGCTCTCATTGCTCTTTTGCCCAGAAGAACACCACCCATTGCTATGGCGGCTGTTCAAACTGCTAAAACTCACATGGAAGCTAAGGAACTAGCACTGCTCCACCTCACAGCAACTGGACTTCTCACTAGATGCCTGCCATCTGTCCACTCAATCGACCCATATCTCTCCCCGCTATCGTACCCAACACCTCGTTTGAATGTAACCTCATAACTCTGAGTCTGGTTTTCTGCACTAAACACCAGCTTCCTTGGCTCAACACTAATCTCCACACCAGCTGGAGCATTCAATGTCACCTCATAAACTGCATCGGCGTCTCCCCCAACATTCGTGGCTATTCTCTTATACTTAACCAGCCCTTGATCCGAACTCAAAACCACTGAAAACGAAGGGTAATTCAGATCACCAGGGCTAGCCAAACTGTTTCCTGTGCATATATCAGAACCAGTAGGCTTCCCCACAAACACAGCTATTTGCCTTGGACTGTACCCAATTGAGCACAAAAACGCCACATAGTCGTTGACATTGAGATCATAAACCAACCCAGGATTAAGAGCTCTGTTGGGATCAACATGCCCTGCTCCATGAACAAAAGGTGTTGACTCTTCCCCAGTTCCAAGGTCCTTAATTTTCTTCCCAGCATTGTCCAAAGTGTAAGCTGTTGTAATCAGAGCAGATTTTATAGCAGCAATCGACCAATTCGGGTAAGCCTTTCGAAGCAGAGCAGCAATGCCACTCACATGTGGGCAAGACATGGATGTGCCTGAAATGATATTGAACTCAACTCTTCTAGGATCAATGTCCAAATCAGTGGGGGCAGTAGCCCCAGTCCAACCAGCCAAAATGTTCACCCCAGGAGCAATCACATCTGGCTTGAGAATCTCTGGTGTGAGAGAGTTTGGTCCTCGGCTCGAAAAAGCTGCGACCTTTGGAGAAGATGGCGAAGACCCAATTACAGTTCCGCGAAACACAATGGTGGCTGTTGGGTATTGGCTCAATCTGATGTACTCTCTTATCTGATTAGCAGCGATCTCACCCACCTCTGTTGCAGGTATGAGGTGACCATCAGCAAGAAGCTCTTCTCCACTCTCCTCTGTATTGGCCAATATCATCCCAAGCCCACCTGCAAGCTTCACCGCGCCTCCCTTTGCCACTCTCGCATTGCCTCCGCGATCACACACCACAATCTTCCCTTGAACTTTCGATGGCTGAAGAGCCCCTTCATAACAGTACCGACTTCCACAGTCTCCGCCATACACTAACGGAAGCTTGTAGTCCACAAGAGGCTCGCCGGAGTACAACGAAACCCCACTAAGAACCCGATCATCGCCGAGAACAACGTCCGCCGGGAATTCTCTGTCAATGGTGGATGCACCCACTGTTAAAATCCACGGAGCTATGTTGGTGGCGGTAAATGGGTTAGGCCCAGAATTCCCAGCCGAGGCAGAAACAAGAACACCATGCTGGGCAGCCCCAAAAGCTCCGATGGCTATGGAGTCTCGATCGTAAGGCGGAGCACGACCGCTGGCTCCGACAGAGAGCGAGATGATATCAACACCGTCAGCAATGGCTTGATCCATGGCGGCCAAGATGTCAGAATCGAAACACCCAAAAGACCAGCAGATTTTATAGACGGCGATTCTGGCCTTGGTGGCCATTCCTCTGGCTTCGCCTTGAGCGTACGAAAAGAAGCTCGCGTTAGCGACGACGGCGCCCGCGGCGGTGGAGGCCGTGTGGGTCCCGTGGCCTTCGGTGTCTCTCGGCGACTTCGCCTCCGTCGTGTCGTCCATCAACCTTCCGATGTGGGATTCGTAGCCGTTGAAATAGGCGCGAGCGCCGATAATCTTGCGGTTGCAGGCGGAGGAAGGGAAGTCCGCGGTGGTGACGCACGTGCCCTTCCATCGGGTCGGGACGGGGCCGATACCCGAGTCCGAGAAGCTGGGGCGCTCGGGCCAGATCCCGGTGTCGAGGACGCCGATAACGACGTCGTCAGCGTAGTCGGAGTTGGGCCAGAGGCCGAAGGAGTCGGCGAGGCCCAGGAAGTTGGGGGTGTGAGTGGTGTGGAGCTGACGTGGCTGGTCGGGCGTGACGGAGAGTACGGACGGGTGGCTGAGGAGCTGTGTGGCCTGAGAGGAAGTGAGGGTGGCGGAGAAACCGTGGACGGCACGGTCGTAGGTGTAGAGGAGCTTGGTGGGGTGAGGGGAAGGGAGATTTTGGATGATGGAGGTGTACCAGCTCCGGTGGGAGGAGAAAAGGGAGGGCTTCTGGGATTTGGACACGTGGACGATGAAGGTTTTTGGGCGGTCGGACAGATCGGGCGGGATTGAGAGTGTTGCAGGAAGGAGAAGAGAGAGTAGGAAGAGGAAGAGGGAGAGAGTGGAAGTGGCCATGAGTGTTGTGTTTGGTTCCTGAGAAACTGGAGGGATCAACAAATGGTTTGATGGCTGGTTTTTTTAAGCCCACTTGTCTCTCCACAACTTTTGTTTGGCCTTAATTTGTGCATGAATTTTGGTCAGGTTCATCCGATTAATTCGAGCGCAAGAGAAAATAAATATTTATGAGATTTAATCAAGGATATTTTATTTTATTGGATAAAATATTTTATGGGTTTTTCTAGTTATGTGGGGAGTTTTGGACCAATGAGAATGGACAATATGGATGATTGGCTTAACAGGCGTATGTCGGTTCGAAACCAATATAATTTAGTTAATCCTCATACGATACAATATAGATTGAACTGTGATTTTTTCAATCCGATCTAATCATATTAGATGTTTAAATTCATTGTGATAATTGAATTGGATTGGATTGGATGACGATTTTAATAATGAAAAAAGACAATAATAAAATATTAAATATTTATCCTTAGGTTTAATCTAATCAAACATATTAATAAATGTAAATGTAAAATATAAATGAAATGCTAGAGAAAATTGCTTTGATTATATAATATATTAAATATAACTTCATTAAATGACTTCAAATATTCATAACAATTTTTAACTACAAATACGTAAAAGAGCAAAATCATTATAAAACAAACTATATTGGATTAGATTCTTATAAGCAAATCCGTTATCTAATCCAATTATGTCGGTTTTGAAAATTATGAATCCAATTCAATTCACCAAATGATCAAAACTGATTGAAATAGAATTGGATCAATTTCAATCGGTTTGAACGAATTGAATTGAATCTTGTACGCGCTGCTTATAGTACAAAATGTGGGACCAAGATGTTTAAGGGGTCGATGGCAACCAATTGGATAATGACAAATCAATGAATGTGGGCTTTTGAAGAAAACGACATGAAATGGATGGAGAATCAAGTGGAGTGGTCCGTGAATATACTATCATGGCCTATGGGACTGGGCAATGCTATGGATTCGATTTTATTCTACGGCAAGACAAGCTTTGCCAGAATAATAGCCATAATTTCGCAAAATGCCCATCTCCTACTCAAGTTATCTTTGTGTATCAAAAGAGTTGAGGTAACACTCAAACTATGAGGACTCTCAACTCTTAGAACAAGGAACATGCTCTATTATTTTAAATTTCAATAGGTATTCATTTGGCTTCGTGTGCTAATCGGGTTTAGAGGTCTAGACCCCGATAGCCTACAAGTTACGATATTTCGTACTCCAAAAGGCCATCTTTTTATGTTTGTGCTTCACTACATTAAGTGAGAAAAACAATAGTCATTAAGAAGTCGGGTTCTACCTATTATTTTGTTTATTTGTTTTTTCATTTGAGTGACAGACAATGATAAATCAGTTGATAGGAAGGTTTGCTTCTTACAATGATTTTGTTAATCATTCATTCATTCATGTTTGTGAGACTCACACATCAAAGATCAAGGACTTTTAAGTGTACACAAGTAAAATGCAGCATTTCAACACGCAACCAAGGAGAAGTTTCCTAACTACACTATTTCCTACTTGTTTTTTTGGGGCATTCTTAGTTCTGTGAAGATGACTTTTACAGATATGAGGATGATGAAGTGGTATTCACACAATTCCTGACACAAAAAGGGAGTTGGAGTTGTGGGGAAATTGATCTATATTCAATTAAATTAAGTGAGGCGGGGATACGGACTTGAAATCTAAATATATCATAGGTGTGCTTGGTATTCACAAACCAAACTTAAAAATTAAAATCTAAATATCGCTGAATTAAGATTTAATTTCATTTAATTTTTCATTATCTCCTTCTAACTATACTATTCAATATAAAAAGGAGAAAAGGTTAAAGTGGAGTTTGGTGGGTGATGCTTAGATCCACTTTTCATGGGCATGTATGCATCAAGCGTGAGCCTGCGTAAAAGTGCTCTTCCATGCTTTCTTCCATGCTTTCTTCTCCTTTCAAAGCAAGGCACATCTCTTCCTCACTCAATTCATTTCTCTCGCTATCACTAATTTCCATTTTCCTGAAAATTAAATAATAATGAAAGTTATTATTATTTCATTTTTAAATCAAATAATTTCACTTAAAATAATAATATTAACATGATGAACATCAAGAAGAATAATATTAAAACTGAGCTCATGAAATGGTCCTTGTGGCTGAAACCACAAATTTTGGATTTTGGGTCCATCTTAAATTAGGCGCAGACCATGGTTTAGCCCAGTAAAAGCAAACAACCAATTCCTAGCCAAATCCAATTTTAGGCATATGGCCAGGCCCAATTTCAGACGGGGACAGTTCTTTTTATTTTATATATTTATTTTGTGTGTGTGGATAAAACCGATATTATACTTTAATCTAATCTAAACTATAGAGAGGGAGATTCGAACTCGTGTGCAGACGCAGAGTGGGGAGCACATCCAAACTTTCTCCTTAAGCCATCCACACTCATCGCGTTTCTTCTCCACAATCTTTTTAGCATTTTAGTCTTAAATTTATATTGACAATTGAAGTCATGTTAATTGCGAGGCAAGAGAGGGCTGTGGATTGTGGAGGAAGGTACATATTCTTATGGTTGAAAAGACTTAAGGCACAAGATATTTTGGGGTTAAAAACAGAAAACCACACCCAAGTCAACCAAAATCCTTAAAAACTAATCTCCAATGATCTTATTGAGGTGAAGACAAGAAAGAATGAATCATGTGAACGTTTTAATACCACATTAAACAAGAGATCAATGATTGAGTCTAGACATAAACTACACACAAGTGAAAGATATTAGATATATCTTATTGTGGGATTAGGTAAATGAGCCTAAAATAATTGACCAAGCTAGGCTTATAATTGGTGCAAGAGTTTAGATGCTAAGTAGGGTGGTTTGTACTGTTGGTGTTTTTCTCACAAGGTAGCCACCAATTTCCAAAGAAAAAGACACTTGATTTCCTCTTCCTTTTAAAAAAAGAAAAAATTTATGTCAGTCTGGTTGGTGAGTGCATCTAATAATTTTGACCTCCTCCATTAGAAATTAGTGTGCAATTTGGATATGCTAATTGTTGCTATGATGTATGTGTTTGGAGTGATAAAGTATTATTTCGAGCGACTTAATTTATTACTAACCTCTTCGCACACGCTTTCGCGATTGCGAGAGGTTTTTCTTTTAATTTTAATTTTTTTTAATATGAAAAAGTGTGAATTTACCATATTATCCTAATTTAATTAATAATTTCAATTCTTAATATTTGCATTAACCAAGTATTTTGAATGTTTTACCATTTTCTGCGTTTTGATTTATGTATATAGATTCTGAAAGAGCAATGTACTAGACCGACGATGTGAAAATGCGTTTGCACAATCCGCCCCGAAAATCAATTGCCAAGCTGTGCATACTGCTTTACACGTTTTGGATTGGAGCTACAAACAGGAATCAAGTAAAATTGTGCTGTTAATCAATGATTGAGAGTTAGAGATACTGAAGAATATATATTGTGGCCAAAATCTGATGTCCCATTATTTAATCAAACTCTGAGTCCCTGAGGCCTGAATATATATTGTGGGCAGACATTCATGCAATGCAATGCACCAGATCCGATTCCCTCCCATAGGCATCAATCCATAGCCTTCTAAATCCAGCAGAGACTCCACGCAACAGAATTAAGACAAGCACTGCTGTCTGTCTGACACTGATTCTCATATTCCCTTCCATAATTCATCGGCGCAATTGATAAATCACAGAAGAAGAATGAGAAAAAAAATATGGAAGGGAAGAATCTAAATAAGGCTTTGTCTAAAATTGAAAACAGAATGAGGTTGATTGCAAGTGAAAAAGAAAAAGTTGTAGATCAGTAGGAATGATTCTCATCACAACTTCACAAGTCCTTGTTAGAAATTCGATGGCCATGTATGTAGGTTCCACGTTTCTCTTGATTCCTTTGCAGAATGATCCTTCCATTCTCATTAGTTAGTTATATATGCCAAGAAATTCTTGCCAAAACAAGATCATCTTTAATGGTTCTGAATCACTCCAGAACATAAATAAGTGGCTAGCCAAGATCACCATTAAATTTTACAAATATTTATTTCATACCAAATTGGTTAAATCTAAACTCTTTAATCTAAATTGTTGGAACATTGTATTTTTAGGGGTCTGGCTGTTATGTCCCCCTTGGTGTTCGTTTTGACACTATTCAATAAATTTTCCTCATACCGTCAAGGTTTCTCATAATCTTAAATTGAAGAGTTGAACTGAATTTTTTTTCATTTTGAACCAGAATGCATTAGTGATATTAATCTCATGAATTGCTCAAAAAAAACAATATTAAATTAAAGCTCATTAATCATGGCAGCTATAAAATGTGAAAGAAAGAAAAAGCTTTGATCAGAAAGAGAGATTGAATTTCTAGCAACAGAAAGAACAGAAAAAGAATGAAGAGATAAAGAAAAAGGGTCTGTATTCAATACTAAGTACAACCTAAATTAAACATCTATCCTTAAAAATTAAATTTCTCTTTTCTTTTTTTTTTTCCTTTCTGGGTTTTTATTTTCAGCAAATGAAATTGTAAATTTGCCAAACTTTTTCCCACTTTGATTCTTATTCCCATAATTCCAACACCGCCAGATCAATCTCAACCAGTGAGAGTTGGAAAGCAACTCTCAGACCTTGTAAGCCTCTTGCCATTGATCTTTGTTGGGCTAGTTGGAGTTGATCTCAAACCCCTTGGAGAATCCAAACTGCGCCTAAGAATCTGCCTCATGGCAGAAATCAAGTGAACTGTTGGGTCTGGAGGGGGTCCTGAGGCCTTAAACTTCTTGCAGAAGTTCATGTGGGTAGCCATGGCTTCTTCTGTGCTTATGAGCCTCTCAGACCTCACAATCTCATCTTTGATGGCCTCTGCACACAACCCACAAATCCAATGGCCCTGATATCGCTCCCGAACATGTTGAATGTAGGCCGGGGTGCATTCCTCCGACAGGCCGCAGCAGTCACATTTAACAAACTCGATTTCGATTTGGGCAATGAGTTTTGCGGCTTGTGGTTGTTGGGTTTCTGGGGCTGGTGGCAGAACCACTGGGTCGCTGAGAATAGTTGCAGACAATGCCATTATAAACCCTGCAAACAATACAAACAATCCAAACAAGATTGCCAAAATCTTGAGTTCTCTGACTGCAAATGGAATTGGTTG